ACTTTGTTTTCGAGCAAGGAGATGCATGGTGTCTTCTGGGACCAAAAAGAGGTGCGTAGCCTTACACACTGCAAGCTACGAAAGCAGATTTGTGAACCTATATTATATATTATATATATAGTATATATAATATATTATATACATACTACATACAATGTATAGATAAAGACCACGCATTGCTCCTCTGAAGCAACAATAAATCATATGGCGCGTGGTAATGGTGAGAAGTCGTTCGAATACGTTTGGCTCAGATTTCGGGTGCAGTGTGTTCGTGGTGTGCAGGGAATGTAAGCGCATGCATGCTCAACGTGAATGAAAGCATCACCCAGAATAGCCCACGGCCGTCTTTGCGGATAGATACTACTCCTGTATCAGATGTTTGGCATGGATGCGACCGGAGCGCGACGGTGAACTTTTCAATGCCTAATATGGCAAGCATGTCAGTGCAAAAACTATACATTAACTTTCTGTTCAGAAAAGTTATTTATAATCCGGATGGCTTCCAAGGGATACTTAGACTGTATGCGATGCAAAGTAGTGCTTGGGTTTGCATAAATGACTGATTATTCGACTAAGGCCTATCCGGCTCATAAGCAGCCTCCATCCTTTTTAGCTATATACATGGCGTGCGTGAGCTTCTAGGCATTATTTAACTCAAAAACGATTTTCTCATATGTGCCCAACGTCATCAAAGGAATACGCCCTTTCTCTGGAGCTGGGAATCGTAGATGACTGCAACGCCATGAACATCTGCGAGTGTTTTCTCCCAAACGAAACCAGAAACAATTTTGGAGTAAGCTGGAACTCTGAATGCGATCAGTTACAGCGCGAAGACAACTTCAAGGCAAGAAAATAGGTTAAAGTGCTGTTTCGTGCCAACCTGTCTGGGGGTGGTGTGACCTCCGTTTCCTGTTCGTCAGCTGGGTACACCGTTGTATGATAACTAACTCTTGAGTTTGAAAATATTATATTGAAGTTGAGGAAAGTTGTCAAAATCTGGGGCGAAACCAAGTTTTTGAGGAAGGTCATGTCAGACGCCACGAGCTGCCCCCTCCCCCAACCAGTTTGGCAAAGTGACTCTGCTGACGCCTAGAGCCACCCCCGGTGAATGCAGGGCAACACAGTCCTGGCAGAGCATGTCGAATGGACAATCAGGAAAACCGGAGGTGTTGAAGTGCTTCAGGTAACATGAAGTGGTGGTGAGATCAGTAAACCAGGAGAGCCAAACCGGCCAGCCGCAGCTAAATGGCTTGCACGGCATTGAGCTTACTGAGAAACGCTCGTGAGTTAGGTATGTGAGCCGTTGAAGCATAATGGTTTGATTCATTTTGTAGCTTGTTTCCGTCTCAATTTTTTTCTTTGCGCGGCAGTTACTTTACAAGGTCTTGGGCTCAACCTGGTCCCCGGAGGAAGCGACTGGCATGTGGCGGGACCTTCAGTTCGGCGGAGTTCAGTCCGTGACGTGGCGACTGAAGACAAAGCTCGAAAGTGGCTTTTTCTCGGGTATTCTGGATGCATTGTGGTTGAATGGCTGCTCTTCTTAATCATTCCTTTGATAATCTGCAGAGAAAATGAAAAGCTGTGTTGATGGACCAGCTTGCTTAACTCGCTTCGGCACGGGGTTGATGCAACATCCGGATTCGTGGAGGCACCACGGGTTGTTAAGTAATTATACCACGAAGCTCACTGATGCTGGTGGGCTTCGCTCACGTTAGTCATGGTTAAAGCACCACAAGATTGTATTTTGATACCTACCCATTCTCACGTGGCCGGTACATTCGCTAAATACGATAGTTAACCATGTAACATGGTGGGTGAGACGTGTCCATGATGGTGAAAAGGTCTCCTGAAGATTAAGGTTTGGATAGGTCACGTACAAAGTATTGCTTAAGTGGTAGTAATCCGAACGTCTGCGTAGTAGCGAGCTCCCGCTTTTGTCCTTAACCTATGTGGTGCTGCTTAGTAGTATGTTGAGTATTGCTAGGTAGTTATAAGTTTGAGGTGCCCTCCCGTAGTGCTGTTAGTAGACCATTTACAGCGAACTTATGTTTCTGTCACATATTAAGATCGCGCGTGAAAGACACCAAGTAAGGTCACAGAAGACCATAGAATGATGTCAGGTAAACTCACCTTACCCCTGGAGGCAAGCTGTGTCATGCCCTGACTTGTGTACACATTAACTTACGTGCATGGAAAGCTGGAACGATGGCGAGAGAACGAACGACAGAGACGGCAAGGGCGTGCGTGGACCCAGTTTGAGCAAACCTGGCACGTCAAGCTGAAGAATCCGCCCGATAGCTCAGTTGTTTAGAGCGCCTGCCCTCCGATCCACTCACCCGTGGCGGGGTGGGTTCGGATCTACTCACCCGTGGCGGGGTGGGTTCGGATCCACTCACCCGTGGCGGGGTGGGTTCGGATCCACTCACCCGTGGCGGGGTGGGTTCGGATCGCTTTCGCGCTTGCTATTCGTCCTTGCCAGGTATGGCCTGCGGCTGGTGGCAACGACCGCACTAAAGGTCAGGTGACGCCAGACGGCGGGACGGGCCGTGTATAGCATCGCGGCATGCTACACTTTCGCTGCCAAATTCTGCCGTTGACCCGGAATTGCACGATCGGATGGTGGGGGTGAGGGCTCACATAACAAGCACTGCGTGGCGGCAGCTCTGATCCCAGAAACCCGTTCATTCAAAATGGTTCGGAATGAATCTTGAATGGCTCACCGTGGAATGTCAGGATAATATCGGTAGATCACGCAATGATTCGTCTTTTTTGTGGCCTGTGCGGGTGATGTCGAACAGCTAACGGCGTTTTCACTTTGAGACCCGTTGCCTTTAGTGGTTGCACTCGGCTCTGGTGCCGGGCCGCCTGTCGTGGGTGGCCCTGGACGCCCGCCGCCCGTCAGTGTCCTCCGCTCGGCTCCGTTACGACCGGTCTTACTCCCGCGCAGCACATCGGCGTGGTGGCGGCGTACCTGTACGACTCGGTGATCATGTACGTGGAGGCGCTGCCACCGCACGATAAGCGACTACCCGAGCGTGCCGCTGAGCCAGATCATACACAACGGCTCCCAGATCATCGCTCGCATCCGCAAACCAGACGTTCACGAGTGAGTGTGAGCCGCCGTCTGAACAGCGAGGGAGTGTGAGCCGGCGCCTGAACAAGCGAGTGAGTGTGAGCCGCCGTCTAAACAGCGAGCATCGCAACCAGACGTTCACGAAGTGAGTGTGAGCCGGCGTCTGAACAGCGAGTAAGTATGAGCCGCCGTGTAAACAGCGAGCAGCCGCAACCAGACGTTCACGAGTGAGTGTGAGCCGGCGTCTGACAGCGAGGTGAGTGTGAGCCGCCGGTCTAAGCAGCGAGTAAGTATGAGCCGCCGTGTAAACAGCGAGCACCGCAAACCAGACGTTCACGAGTGAGTGTGAGCCGAGCGTCTGAACAGCGAGTGAGTGTGAGCCGCCGTCTAAACAGCGAGCAACCGCAACCAGACGTTTACGAGTGAGTGTGAGCCTCCTCTGAACACCAGTGAGTGTGAGCCGCCGTCTGAACAGCGCCGAACACCGCCGACCACACGGCAACAGCGCCACCGGCATGGACAGGGTACAACATAGCACCACCGTCCACACAGGGAACAGCACCACCGGCACGGACAGGGTACAACATAACACCGCTGTCCACAGCAACATGGCACAGCGCTGCTGCTCAGACATGACGTATCGGTGCTGTCCAGACAGGACATACCGCTGCTGTGCAGACAAGGTGCAGTACCACTATCCAGACAGTGTACGACGCTGCTGTCCGGAAAGAACACGATATCACTGCCCAAATAGGCTACAGCAGACCGCTTCCAGACGGTACGCAACTGGGCCGACGTGTTTCCAGCGCACGGAGAGTACAATATCACTGACCAGATAACGCACAGCATCAGGTGGGCTTGTTGCTTGGAGATGCGCCTTTCAGTCGGATAATGTAACGGGATTTCTGTTGGAACATCATGGTAATCTTGCCAGTGTTTAGCATACCCTGCTTCATTATCCTGGGCAACCCCCGCGTAGGCATTTTCGGTTGTAAAGGAATATAGCAACCTGTTTTTGAGTCGATATTTGCCATTCATTTGTATCCGTCTGCGGCCCAAACAACTTGCGCTCACCCTCACCGGCACACCAGTGTCTGGCAGTGGATGCCTTCTCTGGCTGGGGCTGTGACATGTGCTGTGGGTGCCAGCCAGCCTGCCGGCGCGGTCGTGATGAGCCCTCACCGCTGACGCAGGCGTGATGGGGGTCCGTCATCAAAATGGATGACAACGGCGACTCGGAGGGCAACTTCACCGTGCTGGCGCTCAGCGGCAACTGCAACATGACCATCCGCTACGTGAGGAGCCACAACTACACCCTCAGCTGCCACAACTGCATGAAGCCCTTCGGCCAGTTCTATCTCACCAACAAGTCGCTGCCGGTAAGTGCTAGTGCCGCAGGCACGAGTGCCGGTCCGGACAAGTGCCAAGTGCCAAGACAAGTGCCCAACGCTGGCTGGATCCAGGTGTGACCTCAGCACGGGTCGCACCACCTCGATCTCTCTCATGAAAACAGTTCTCGCTGAGACAGCTAAGTTATGGTTCACGTTGTTCGGAATCGCATTGTTCTGCTCTGCTTCACATTGAAAGGAATGAAAATATCAGGTGGAAGAAGCAGTTTGCTGAATGTCTAAATTCGAAACACTAGCCATGTGTCACAAGAAATAATGTTTGCCTCCTGTGCCAGTGACATTATGCACTACGTAGCATATTACGCTTTGTACTGCATAAAGCTTATTTATGCCTCCGCCTGTTATGTCTTCATGCAAACAAACTTCCGAGACAAGGTGTCAAGATCGACATGACAGGCACTAAGTCTTTTTTCAATCCCAGCCCGTCAGCCCACAGGTAATGGTCTGAGGCGGCCGGGATGATAACCCATTCTGGCAGGCGCTGGTGTTCCTTTTCCAAAGCATCGATGCCCCGGTTGCCCCAACGACCGCAGCGTTAGGCAGGGGAGGGATGAAGGAGGAGAAATCTCCAGTCAGTATCACTCCTCTGCTAATTGGAGCTGTATCTCCTCAGCCGCCCTAGGCTCCTCTTGCAGCGGCGTCCTCCTCTTCTCGCCCCTCCCCCTCTATCATTTGCCATGCAGATGAGGTCAGCCGCCGAAGACTGGCGATGGCCTCCCGGTGACCCTTGCTTTCCAGCCAGCCTTGTCTCCCGTCCGGGCCAGCCTTTGTCTCCCGTCCGTGACATGCCCTGGTGCCAGATGGTGTGCGGAGTGTCTATGCAAATATAAGCCTCGTCGCCTGGGTCACGTGATGCGTCCAAGAAAGACAGGGCCTCATACACGGCGGTCAGGCTTGTTCGGCAGCTCTGCGTGGGTCCGGTCTGTTGAACCATGCTTACCTGTTGGCCGAAAGGCTGCAAACAGAGGCGATGAGGTCCCAGCTGAGCTACGTGAAGGGTACATTCCTTTCATAAAACGATTTGCTAGCGGTGGTTTGATGCCCGCCCATGCTCATGTCTGAGTTCCCTGTCTCGCCAAGTAAGGCGTAGAGTCTGGGGTATCACTGGTAACGAACCCCTAATGCTCTGTGTCTCCCAATGCTCCAAACATACTTGCGGTGTCGGTATTTTCTGTTTCGCTATCCGATCGTCCTTCGGGGAAACAAGATGATGCCACAATAATGTGATTTATCCGCTTTCCACGAGCCTGCTATCGTGTGGGTGCATCGTGTGTGACCGATCTATATCGCATTAGCATGTTTTTGTTTCTCCCGCAAACTTATGTTTGGCTAAGGCTTTAAGGCTTCCCCTAATGTGATGTTCCTCCCGTCGGTTTAGTGTAATCCCTAGTATATGACCATGACGTAGATGTCGTTTTTGAGGACAAAACACCTCAACCATGTTTTTAATCTTTTAGCTGCATTTCAAAAGACATTTAGATTTGTTTTCATTCGTATCAGTGGTTGAGGTGAACGTCGTCCCCACTCATAATTTGGCCCGTCCAGCGGACAGCATGTCATGCTATTTACCCCGACCTTGCAGGCATGGCTATTATAGCTCCGTTGCGAAACCCTTGCAGCCGACGGAGAAGGGAGCTAGTTCTGCGCCATCCACGCCCGTTTTGGGTTGTGTGTCGCGACGTCTGTTTCTGTCTGACCGGCCATCCATGCTGGCTGTGCCATGCCCAGCACGCAACAGCCCAGAACGGAACAGAACAGAACAGATCAGAGTAGACCCGACCAGAGCAAGTCGTTGCTTGTACTGACCCGAACATTGTGCCCTACTGTCATGTTGTCATCCTGGTATGCTATCTGAATCATACCAGTCCTAGCTACCTTGCCCCGCCCTGCCCTGCCTCCATGTCCTGCCTCGCTCTTGTCTAATCTGACTTGATTTGACCTGACCTGGTTTGACCTGACCTCGTTTGGTATGGTTTGGTCCGGCCCGACCAGGTCTGATATAACAGGCCAGATAGATACGGCGGGGTTTGACGAATCTGACAAGACCAGACCTGGTCTGACTAACCCTGACCTGTCCTGACCTGACTTGACCCGACGATTCAGACGTCGCTGAACCAGACTAGATGAGACAAGGCAAGACCAGGCCATATGATAACATATCTTACCCTAACGTGGCCTGGTCTGACCTAGCTCAACCGGGCATGACCTGGGCTTGTCTGACTTGACCTGACCTGACCTGGCATTTTTGCAGGAGTTTCGACCCGACCACGGTCGCACGCCGCCCTGGGACGGCAGTGGGGTGCCCATTCAGGAGCCCGTTGTGCGGCTACGACGGCATGAAGTGCTCCCGGATCGAAGACGGCAAGCGGCAGGTCTGAGTCTCCCCTCTGAGTTCTGACCGCGCCCTGCCGTCGCTCAGTTGTCCATCTGATTATCCTAAGGCTGCCGCATTATTATGTGACTGTGGTTACCGTCAAATTTCAGCACTCGCAGTGCCCTCTTCCAGCTTTGGCATAATGATGACGCCGCTGGCTGGGCACAGGCTGACGTGTTAGGACCCCTCAGCGAAAGGCCCCGCGGCAAGCTGAAGATACCGCAGCGTAGCTGGGATGTTCAGGATAGTCGATGGGCTTAACATGAGCTGTCCATATCTCTGCTTAAACTGGTCAGGAGCAGTACCGTAGACGGGCGTCCGACTTGCGTGACTGCCCGCGGTCAAGGGTGCCGGCGGCCTCTGGATCGAGCACAAATAGGCATTTGTCATGAAAGCGATGCTACCGTGTTGCATGCAAACGGGGTTTCGAATTTAAACCGACGTGACCGTTCCGTTTGCTTGGCGCACATTGTGCAAAACAACCTGGGCGGGTTGTTCGAATTGGGCAAGCTTTGATCAGTCCTTGTCAAACAGAGTGACGTTTGATCACACTGTGAACTCGCGCGGGAAGAGACATTCTCAGTGTGGAGTAAATCTACCGCAGACCCTCAGGCGGTATACTGTGCGTGTTGTGGAGCGAACCC